ATAGAAAACAAAATACCTTTCAAATTTTTGAATACATTCTTCACTAAAGAAGCATCGAATGCAAAATTCTTTATCGTGGATTTTGGCACAGACTTTTTCTTTCAAATTATTTGTTTCCAATCGAACTGTAAAAATCTAAAAAAATTTTATCGGTTTTAACGCGTTCATTTTTTTTAAACTTAAATGGATTCGAGGGGCATCAAATATTGCTTACAAGAGCATACCTCTAATACTTGAGCTCTTATAGGCTTTTTAACAGGTTCATCAATATCATTTAGATAATTTAATATTTTTTCTTTTATCCATTGTTTACGTAAGAACTTTGACATATTATATAATGTAGAAGCTTTAAGGAATTCTAAAGTGGCTGGGAAAAAACGCCACATGTGTATTTACGATTAAAAGCTTACATACATGCTTGATAACACAGGTTTTTAAAGACCAATCACACCATTCCCTTAAACGGTCATACAACCGCAAAATAAAAAAAAATAAAACTCGAGAATGCTACAAAGTCGGAATTTAAATCGCTATCCTCGTGATTTCTTGGATGAAATTGCAAATAATTCTTTTATTAATTAGTCTTAAATCAAACATAATGGTGAGTATTTGATATAGTAAAAACATAGTTAAAAATACTGACCACATATATCAAAGGCACAGTAAAAAAAGGTTCGAACTTTTATTAAAAACATAGTAAATTTTGACTCGCGGGCTGTGCACAGGCCTCTAGAGGATTATAATAACGTCACCGAGATTACATAAGGAAATTGCTACCAGTACATAGGGTTGTAAAATTATCCGATAAGTACGAGACAGCGTGTTTTCGGCAAATTAATCATTTTGATTGGTTAATCAGACATAAACGGTCGTTGTGCTCCGAAAATATCTGCTTTACCTGTTGTTCTTTTCTCGGTGGTAAATTACCAAAATAGGGGTTCGTTAAAGCGGGGTAAATATGGATTTACTTATTTGTGCAAGGTAATACAAAAATGAAATGATGAATTTAAATTAGAACATTACGTCAGATATTCTATTGTATGGGTAACCCCGTGCCTTTCGACACGGGATTTAAATATAAACCCGTGTGTTATTCATATACTAATGTCGGCAACTTTAGATATATAAAGTTGATCTGACTAAAATTAAGCCCCTGAAATTAGATCTTCATACATATAATTCCGGTTAGGTGCAACTTTATATATCTAGATACGACATAATTTTAGCATATGGAAATTCATTTTATAGCCAGATTGATATTAACGGGGTTGATATTAATGAGGGACGAATTTTTATTTGTTTAATTTAAAATAAATTATTAATAAAATAAAAAAGACTATTATATGGTATTTGAGTGCTGCCAAAGGAAAAAGGCCGTTCGAATTTCAATTATATTTTGTGTACAGTTAGCCGTCTGTAAAAAAACCTATATAGGTTTTTTTATTTATTTTGACTGAATTATACTAATAAGGCAAATGGGTAACTTTGCATAACTTGTTATTTGTTGTCCGAAACAGTATTATTCAATTCGATGAGCTTGATTACAATCACAGGATCACGAGATACTGCAATTTGCTCATGGAAGACATTCATATAATTGGTTAATTTTTGTAGATTTACCCGTGATTTCCCGTGATAATTAACCAATTAAATTACATAATTTTTTAAAAAAATTTTCTACTAAAAAAACTTCATATAAAAAGGTTACTAATTAATAAATACGCGCAAAAATTTATTGCATATGCTTTAGAGAGCAGATAGATACACATAAAGTAGGATAAATGTGAAATTTATTACAAATAAACCAGAACATGTTAAAAAAATCTACAAGACATAAGCCAAAATTCTAATCTACGGTTGACAAACCCAGGCAAATTAAAGAACTAACTAAATTTAACTATTAAACGCGAATATTCTGCTACTAAAAGAGCTTATACCTATTCAAAGTAAACAGTTAGCACCAAATTTTATTTAAATCTAGTGTAATAAAATAGGTTTAAATGAAAACATTTCCAGTTATCTAGTTATCTTTATTCTACAGTATAATTTCACACAGTCCAATTGAAAGCGGCATATTTTGTCTTCTAAGCAAAGTTTGCCGGGAGTATGATTCTTTTTTGATTCTTTTGCAAGGTGAATTCTAATGTTCGTTTAAAGCTAAAAATAGCTTTTTGCGATTTTTTATTAGTGAAACGTTACGTTTTTAAAAAAAAGTACTTTAAAGTGTATAAATAAGTTACCCGGGCAATTGATCTGCATCAGCCAATCAAACGATAAAGAATTTTGCATTCGATGCTTCTTTAGTGAAGAATGTATTCAAAAATTTGAAAGGTATTTTGTTTTCTAT